CAGACACAATCGAGATCGTTGACTTTGTGATGATACCAAGTGCAATTAATTTCGCATGATTTGGTGCAGTTTAAGAATTAATCATTGTCGGATAAACTTATTAGCATATAGAAACAAAAATCAAAACTAAAATCACTCTGCTTCTGTCGCGATATCACTAAATATAATAAATCTACAACAAACGGAACACGATTTTGACACCATTTTGTCGATTTATTTATCTAAAATAATTAACAAGCGGAATCAGATAAGAATATTACAGATGGACACAATTGATAAAGATCTGGGTCGAATAGTTGAATTGTGTCAATCCGAAATATTTTATTGCGTATATCATTGATTCGCTTTGACAATTAATATTATTCTAAGCTGCAATTTATATCAATTCGCGTACATGAAGAAATAAAAGAATGTTGGGAAAATTAAACGTACATTAAAAAATAATACACTATTACCATCAATTCTATGCTTTTATAAAGTGGTAAAACGTGCTGGAGAGTGTTATGGAAAATCACCGGTTTTGCATAATGTTACTGATTCCGCGGAAAGTCGATAACTGCGTGCGAGAACGCGCTAAATCACCGGGTAGGAACTCGCCTCGTCTCGTTACGAGAACCACCGTCTCTCTACACCGGAATCGTAACTCATTCCCATAAAGACTCGTTTACGAGGTAATGACTCGCGCGAGGTAATGACTCCCGGAGCTTCTTATTCGCGGCGCGTCATCGTCATCGTCGAGTCTTCGAGTGACCTACAGACCTCATCACACGCGGCCTCGTTCGCAGGTCGATAAACTGGCACGTCCAAGCAACGACACCGCGCCGTTACCGGTAGCGATTTATACCGATCCCATTCGTTCCTTCTACTTCCGCCAATCTCGCTTCTCAAGATTGCCATCAATTCAAATGGTCTTAAAGAGACTGAATGTATTGCGCGTGACGCACACAAGAATCGTGAACACCGCATACAATACTTTTCGAAATGAAAGAATTAGCCGCAGGCTGTTCTGCTTTATAAGTTCAAAGAGTGAATAATTTTAACGAGTTACAAATTTATTGATAAACTTGTATTTTACAAAAATCAATATAAATGCTTATTGTACAAGTTTTATTACAGAAAATGACATCTACGTTTTTGCCAAGCAAATGCTTATTATTTGAGACATCACTTATTTAGCTTCTTCAATAAGAATTGTCAACCAGCATATTGTGAAAAACGTCCATTTTAATGCCTTAAGAATTATCAACGAAGATCGCACTGTTATATTTTTATTAATATTGCGATCATTTTATGATTTATGTAATAAACACGGTGCGACGCAATGTATACCGCGTGTTAATATTTACACCGTCGTCAATTATATACATTTACGGCAGTCTCGACGCATTTTTGCGGAAATGTTGAGTCTCGGTGTGATTGGTGGAAACTTTTGCCGCGCCGAAAAAATTTCCGCGGCGAAAGCGCGCTCGTATAAATTGTACCGAGTCTCGAACGTTTCCAGCCACGAGAAAGTGTAGTACATCGCGACGTATTCCCGCCTTTTTTTTCGTCAGTACACGCGACAAGCCGTGTAATCTAACCGCTTTATCAGTACGGCAGGCAGACGGCGGAACATTTTCAGCAGGCAAACACGAGCTTTCTTGCAACTGCTTTTCGGTACAAAGATCACGGTCAAAATAATGTATAATTGTGAAAACTATTTATCAATTGTACAGATAGAATTGATATAATAATGCGGTGCAAAATTTCAAATTCCGGAAACAACGAATGCTTTGATACTATCAATACGATTATCAATCGATCAATACGACGATAAATAATCGACGAGCACGGGATTTCCCGCGTATTATTGTGATAAAATTGTGTTAAAATCCAGATTGTATGTGATCGTACATTCTAACAAAACAACTGCATTTACTAGATATGAGCGATCACTAAATTAATGACTATCGCGTTTCTAAAGGCTAATTTTCCTAAACGATACTTTCACTCATAAATTCAAAACGCACATCCATATAAAAACGCAATGAATGAGAACATACGATGTAATTTCATATCATAAAAACGTATCCCACAGCGAGGTCTTGTCTTGCGTAAAGAAACATCTCATTTGCAAACGAAGATCGAGTTGTACATCTCGTAGATCATTAATACGATAATAAAACTGGTTGGGAAATCGCGTTTTGCAAATTCGCGGTCATAAGACGATTAATCCTGAACACGTGCAATCCGCGTACAGTATCGTGACACGCCGCGACAGTCACTCTTTTACTAATACCGATCTCGTGAATAAGCACTGATAACGAAGCGGCGGGAGGCTCGTCTCACGTGTCAATCACTAACTAATCACGAGATCAACAAGGTCGATTCGTCACTTTTACACGATTATGTGTAATTCACAAAAGTACAAAATATGTCATTTTTCGCAGTGTCAAAATTAAGTTTGACAGATAAATTAGTCCGTCATTGATCAATTTCTGTTATTTGACACATTTTTATAGCAATTATAAAAATATAATTTGCTAACTAGAATTGTTAACTGTTTAAAAAATTATGTAAAAGAATAGAAAGAAATAGCCGCGAAGCACTATACCGAATCTACTTCGTTGTACTCTGATAGCCGAAATGTTGGCCGACTGACAGAAAATTTGATCAAAATTTAAAACTGCAAGGCAATAATAAAAATGTTAAGTACATTTATTTCTTGTTGCTATCTAAAGCTCTATTTGCTCATTTTTCTAAATTTTTTATGAATAAATATATGGAAATAATTTTTGCTACGTGACAGTCTTTTTTTAGATCATATGCATCATTGTGTTACAAATCGATTTCTTGTGCAATCGGCTCTTATTCACGTGAAATGCGGCGCAAACAATGTATCACGTATCTTTCATATGTGCGACAATTTGCTGGCTAATTACGGCATTTCGTTTAATTGTTGAGACGGTTTGCGCGATCTCTTCGGCAAACATCTTTCGCACACGGATGAGATAGGTGAATAACTCTGTTGATCAAAATTTATTACGCTGAAAATTAACTCGGAATTTGCTGCCAAATCCTTAATATAATTATAGTTTAAACTTAATTCGCAATTAACTTTAAAACACATTTACTTTGCAATATTTGCTCTTTTCGAAAAAAAATTAAATGTACACGCGATAAATATATGAATAAACGTAGATAACGCATGAGGCCATCGAATATTTGCAACAATGCGCAATTAACGAACAAACTTCATAATTAAATGATGAGAGTGCAATACCTAAAAGATTTAAATCATCGACATGCTGAAACGCACATGAAACGAAAGTTTTCAAAACTGATTATACAAATGTCAAGCTCGTCGTATCTTTATCACTTTATGATCTGTTATAATACATGTACCGACGACTTAAAAAAAGAAATTTTATCATTTTACATGTTTATCGTGAAAAAGTTGCCAAGCCTACGAGTGTTTAAAGAGATTAAAAATATTTACACACATTTAACACTGACTTAAATAGATACATTTAACGTTAAATATACCAAGACGTCGTATATTACATGATGATATCGACATTTTAAAATTCAACTCATAACACTAAAAGTAAAAAAACCTGAATTATATTTGAGAAAGATTCTTGATACAAATATTTATAAAAAAACAATAATACACTGAGAAAAATATTTGGTTTGATTCAACAAATTATCTGTTCAATTTTGGACGAAAAAGACAGATTCTAGTTGAATCTACCAGATTCTGATAGATTGAACCAAAATCTGTTTCGTCAAAAATCGAACAGACGGTTTGTTGAATCAAACAGAACATTTTTCTCAGTGTAAAAAATATAATAAAAATTTAAAAGTATAATATATTTTCTTAACAAATTCTTCATCTCATTTTTAGTTAGCATCGCTGATTTAGCGCTAAATGAAAGTATTATTTCGAGTTTAACTATCTGATGTTCAATAATGTTCAACTGAGAAGTAATAAATCGGCATACTCTCCTAGTTAATAAATTTTTTTATGTTTCGCTCTATTTAGCACGAAAGTTTAGCTAAATACGGCATTTAGCTTAATGCGAATTTAATTTGCCTCATACAATAATCGCGATCAATGTCAACACGACGATCAGACAAGTGCGCTGAAGAGACGCGCAAAGAGCGAATCTGTGTTCTGCGATAAGAAAACACGCGAGACAGTCTTTCGAAAGCCATACGGTTTAAGCGCAACGGTGAGAGCACGTAAGTCTCCACCTGCAGTTTTCCGCATACGAAACACGGACTCTCCTAATGCCAATTCCTTACACTATCATTATCGTCTAAATAGTACATTAGAAAGAACGAGAAAACGTTCTTAAGAACGAAGAAAAGTAGTAAATATCATATCTTAAGAAGAGCACCCGTAGAAGATAATCTGTTGACAGACTATATTACGTCAAACTAGCGTCCATTATATACCCTGCATATTTCACATATCGTAATAAGCGCCCGTTATCCAAATTGCTCCGTATTCCTTCATGGATTTCCAGTGATACCACATGCACAATTATGCAAGTTCCTTTTTCTATGAAGAAAAATGGCATAATAAATCGATATTACATATCGACAATCTCGAAGAAACTTCGCAGTCGCTCACTCAGCAGAGCTAAGAACGAACGAGATGATTCTTTTCGTCTTGTGCATCTTCGCGTTGTCATTTGGCAATAACGCGATCGCGTCATCGCGCGTCGACGATGTTACAGTAAGATTTATCGTCAATGCAACGCCCGTTCTGTTTCCGCCTTCAAGGATATCTCTACAACTGTGCACCAGCTATGGCAAGATTTTTAGATCATTTAATGGTGTTAATTGTTCTTGGAGAAAAGAAAATAGTTAAAAATTTTTTACAATAATCAACTAAAAAAGATTCTGATTAATCGAATAAAACTATGTTAATAAAAAATATAATAAAAGCTCTTTGATGCTCTTTAAATCAAAATTAAATTCACATCTACATTTCAATCTATCTATCATTTGTCTCTCTTCGTAGATGAAATAATTAAATTATCAAGAATACTATCGAGCTACCACTTGACACATAGCATTCGTAACAATTATGAAGAATTCAATCCAAAGATTTATGACAATTTAGAACATCGGAATTTGTACGTATTAGATTTGGACTGCGATTATGCCGCTGACGTTTTACGACAGGTAATAAATCTTTTTATATCACAAGCACAGTAAAAATACAAAGAGAAATAGTTTGCTTTCTGATTAGAAAAGTAACGTTAGCGAGTCCATGTTGTACTTTCACGATATTACGCCACTTTTCGTAAATGCAAAACATTTTGCTCAAAATAAAATCCGCGCAAATATAGTTTAGTCTATTAATTCAATAAGCATGAACTAAACACACAAACATACTATTGTCGGTAAAAATTGATTTTCTAACTCACTCTAAAGATAATAAACAGTATCACTCGCCACTGTTTACAATCTCCAAATTTATCATAATCGTTACCTAATATTAACAAATAGGCGCATTCGAAAAGAATGTTCGTCGCTCCGACAAAGTGGCTGCTTCTTCAGGATCGAAGAACGGTAATCGATAACGATAACAATCTAACTTCAACGTACAACGACACAATATTGGAAGTGTTCGAAGACTTGGCAGTCTATCCTGACAGCGACGTGGTTATCGCTCGAAGATTCGACGGTGACTTTTTCGAACTTCTGTCCGTATATCGACCAAGTCCTCAACGAGGAGTAGTACGGGAGAACCGTGGAAATTGGACAATTGATAATGGTCTACAAATGAGAACTTTTGAGGTGGCTTCGGCACGGAGAAGAAATCTTCAACAAACAGTCCTTAAATCCTGTCTCGTGGTACTTAAAATGATTGCGCAAGAAAATATATTTACATGTCAGCAATATTATCAAAGGCATTCCGTTTGTAAAGTCTAACACAATTTGCATAACACGTAATACTGTTACAGTAAAAAAAAAAAAAAAAGAAACAGCGAATTAGATATCAGCAATTTTAAAACGCCGCGACGCAGCTGCGATTTAAGATACTTGCAATTTTTCGAACGTAAAAATTTATTGCAATTGCAGATGACGGATCCCGACACGATCAACCATCTGACCGATTTCAAGGATAAAACCGTAGATCCAGTCACAAAAGTTAATTATCCGTGGATACTTCATTTAACAAACCGGATGAACGCAACGTGAGTTCGACCTTCGACATTAAATACCAGAACGACATCGTTGGAGTTTACGAAGTGAATCCGGTGATGATAATTTGTCGCCAATTATCTCGCAAACTTCGTGAATGCAAGCCTCGAAACAACGTAATAAAGCCGTAACTCGATCTCAAGGTTAATTAACGAGGCCAAAGTGAAATGATCGGGCTATTACGGTATACAGACGTCAAAAACGATCAGAAATCATTTTCGATCGAACAGCCGTGTACCATCGGATATATCAATAAAGCCATTTGCATAATTAAACAAATGTACACTTATCAATGATCATGCATGTGACCGACGAAAGTCGCATGGTTATATTTACGCTCGTATCTAATCGACTAAAAATCTTATCTTGTCAAATTCCTAAATATTATGATAAAATTCTTCAATTTTTGCTTGTCGATACGATAGTGTAAATATGCCAAAAAATGCACGCGGTGTTTTGATGATTGACCCGAAATTTCACAGGATAACTTTCGACGTTACTAACAGCTGGGGATATCGCATGGAGAACGGCTCCTGGAATGGGATGATCGGGATGTTGGAGCGACGCGAGATCGATATCGGTGGTACTGCCACGTTTCTCGTGCCAGAACGTCTCGGTGTCGTGCAATACGTCCAACTGTACACACAGACTTGGTAAAATAAGCAAAGATTATTTACTCAAAAAACAAATGTTCAAATGACTTTTATTCCTTTCTAAAAAGAACTTCTGAACTAATAAAACATAAAAAATTATTTAAACTTTAAAATTCAATAAAACTCAAAATTTGATTGAAAATAATGAGTTAAACAACAACGATAGAATGATATTTTATATAAAAATTTACACAGTTCACGATTCATATTTCGGCGACCCTTACTGTCAACCGTCAGTAATATATTCGTCCTGCCGTTTCAACGAAACGTTTGGATAGCCACTGCTGTGTTTCTCATTGTGGTACTTTGTTTACTCTTTTTGTCCGTGAAATGGGAATATCATGCAGATAAGAAGACAATAAAATCAGCAACTTATTGGAATCAATTAAATCCTAACAAGCCGACGATCAGCGATAATATTCTCATTCTTTTAGGCGCATTTACTCAACAAGGTAAACCAATAACTTCCATCATTTTGTTTGTAATTTTCAATTATTTACCTTCATTCTTAAATATAATTCTAAAATAATACAAAATAATGATACAAATTGAATCTTATTTTTTATGTATGTGTAAATCAAAATCCTTTATTATTTCACGAATTTAAACATTTTTCCTCTTTTTCAAACGTTGAAATTTAAAAATTTTTACACTTTTGTAGGATATTCGTATGAACCGTACAAAATCTCGACTCGAATTGTCACTCTCATGTTACTCTTGGCCTCTTTGAGTCTGTATGCAGCTTATACAGCGAATATCGTAGGCCTGCTGCAGTCTACTACGGATTCCATCAAAACTGTTCCAAATCTTTTAAATAGTCCTTTAAAACTGGCTGCACAGGACGTCGTATATAATCGATATTATTTCAAGGTAAATCAAGATTGCAAAAATGTATTATAAAATGTTATTATTAACAGATAAATACTTTGATTTATCCAAAATTATTAGCAAGAAATATATATTTAATTGCAAAAAAATTATTTTTTGCGAGATAATAGAGTTTTCAAGATCCAATTAGAAAGACAATCGTAGAGACACGAATCGAGCCGAAAGGACGCAAGCCAAACTGGATATCAATGGAAGAAGGCGTACGTCGCATAAAAAATGAACTATTCGCATTTCATGGCGAAGTCGGCGCGGTCTACCAATTAATGCAAGACACATATCAGGAGGATGAGAAATGCGGTCTAACTGAAATCGATTTTCTAAACGTCCTGTTTCCACTTCTCGCGATACAAGTGCAATCGCCTTATTTGGAGATAATAAAAAATGGGTAAAAAGTATTTCTGTATGGAAATAAAAATATTCGAGAAAATTTAAAATCTAAAATATCGTTCAATTTCATGATTAAATTTTATTGTTAAACGCGTTACTTAAAAAAATGCATTATACAAACATTATAATCAAGAATTATTTTACGTCAGAAATATTCAATATTCATGAAAGGTATTTTCAGAGCTCTAAAATTACGAGAGTACGGATTGAAATATCACGAGGAATATCACTTGTACACGAGAAAACCGGTGTGTTCGAGTCAAACTAGCTTTATCACCATCGGTTTCACAGAATGCTATTTCGCGCTGTCCACAATGGGCTACGGAGTGCTCTTCGCCCTATTTGTGTTTGTGCTCGAGTTACTGTGGCATAAAAGGTAAGACTTAAGAACGACTTCATTCTCACTTGACGCTATTATCATGTTTTCTTTTGCAGACAAAGCATACGTGCAAAGAAAGAAACGTCAGATGACTATATAGACGCGGATAACTACATAGAGTATCTCGAATAGTTGTCAAAATGTATACTCATAAAAGAAATCAGAATCATACAACTTCTTAAATGTTCTGATACATCTTACACGAAATTGAGGAATAAACTTCATAAAGAATGTTTCTGTATTTATGCAATAAAAATAAATTGTAAAATTACTGTCATTACAATATGCGCTAATAAAATATAAAATAATTGCCAAGAAAAAATATGTATATATGTATTTTGTCCGTTTAAGAAAAGTGGTTTTAACATGATTTTTATGTGCAGTACTATGTACATTACCTCTTAAATAAATGCGTACAAGATAAAGAAATCTGTACTCAATACTATGTGTTCTTAGTAATAACACTTTGTATTGGTTTTATATATGCGTACAAAAAGTAATAAATAAATCTATAAAAGCTGCAGCGACTGATAGTCGAAACCAACCGCATAATGATTTTAAATTAGCGACATAAATGTATAGAAAAACGCGCATAATATTATATTTTAAATTATAAAACAAAACACTTGATTCAAACATTTTTCATTTAGCCAAAATAAAAAAATAATAAAATATGCGCATTAACTACAAAAACCTATGCGACCAATTTTTGATCTATTCTTTTCAGCGTGTACTTTATTATAATTTTTAATCTTGGTTATACATTTATATTGCAATTTGAATACAGGAAATATATATAAATATAATATGCAGCTAAAAGAAACAGATCATATAACTGTGAATTACTGTACATATTACTAGATGAGCGTTAAACGCACGGCGGTAATAAAATGCTCATAATAGTTCTTCGTAAAATCTATCATAAGATTCAACGTGCACTCAGGTAACTGTTCAACGCAAGTCGCCAAATTGCCAGTGAATCAAGTAAAAAACGAAACAACAGTCCTTCAAGACGGACCGTCTGCCCTACAGCGAAATAAGTACGATTGATTGAAAGCACTGCACTTCTACTAACTTGGCATATAAAATAAAGATGATTTATACGATTATGGCATCCTTGCCTATGTAAACGTAACAACCGACCAGCGCTGCGTTTACGACCCCCCGTTCCCCCACAAATACATGATTTCCCATCGTTAGAGGGAAAAAGGCAACCCTAATAAAAGGTTTATCAACTTTAGAATATTGATATGCGCTTAAAATTCAGCATAATTTGTATTGATTGCTTGCTATATCGCAAGGTACTCGATATATTAGTATCTTAATATACTCGAAAATTTTTAAGTTAAAATTGACAGTTTTAGAAGCGACCGAGTAATATACTATACAGCATAATATGCAATGCGGATTAATATAATTAAAAACTTGACTCACCCTCTGCTGAACTTCTTAAAATGCGGCCGGATGACAGTGTTCTTGCTAATGATACAATAGCGCCCTGTCCTGACATTAGCCAAATCACCTCTAATAATAGCAGATTGTACTATCACTTTTCCATGTAACACGATGTTCTGAGAACCGCACAGTACAGTTAGCCTACTCACTTTATTTCCTTAGGCCTGAAATGACAAAAGAGTGAGATTATGTGACACATTCATAATTTTTTTACAAAAGCCAGAGTACTGCTAAATAATAAAATTTATTGACCAGCAATATCATAACAGCAATAATAATTTTTTTATTTAAATTATTCAATAAATGTTTTACTGATACACTGTTATTGTAATTATCTATTACCATTTTGACATATTCGGCTTTGTTATAATAAATAACCTCCAGCTCCATCTCAAAACATTTATAAAGCGTCAAATAATACAAGCGTATAAACTTAGTGTTCAAATGACTATAAACATATAATACTTCGATTACGATTACTCGTAAACAACAGGTGAAAGATCTGTCAGTTTGATCATCGCAGGCTGCCGCCAGCTGACAAGTCAAACATACATTGCCATCTGCTGACGAAACTACATATCATTTCATGCAGCACAAGCAAGATTATTCCGCGCACAAATTTAATTTTAAAACTTTATGTAATTTATTGTTGTAGTTAACAATAAAACAATAATACATAGTAATAGCATTACAATTATTTCCTTTATATCTTTTCATTATCTCTCATTTCGTCTCCTTCTTCATTTCCAATAAATCTATTTCACATAAAAGTGTGTAAATTCACATAACATTAAAAAAATTATAAAATATATAATGCTAGCTGAAAATTTAATATTTTCATTCTACATTATACTGTGTGCATTACTTTAATTATTATTTCATTGTCTTTAACAACTATTGTACTTCTTAAAGATTTGTTAAAATTAAGTTTATAATATCTGATTTTGCGTACTAATAAATAAACTATTAATTTCATTATTACTATTATGCTAAATATCTAATCTTGTATACTTGTAATAAAATTCTAATAAGACTATCCTACTATAATCAACATCAATAAATAACGATAATCCTCTCTTAAAAAAGACATGGAAGATCGAAACTCGAATGTATCAAAAGTATTGTTGATGCTTTTCCGCGACGCTGATTGGTTATCGCGATTATTCTGATAGTTTGATAGATTGAGAGCGAAGATTATTTTGACAATTATTTAAAATTAAAAAAATTTATTAAAATATTTAAATTTCATAATTATTAAATTACTATAATAAGTGCGCGCGCGTAGCGCGCGCCTGTATTGTTCTAGTAAAGTATATAAAACGCTGACGTATAAACAAATAAAGTCGAGTCATCACACGGGTCGTTAATGACAAAAAAACCCCTCGCAAATCATATTTATCCCGTTCACGAGATAATAATGAGCGCAAAGAGACGAAAAAGCGTCTAGAAATATATCAGAATGCGCAATGGTATTTGCCAACGATTATAACAATATCGATCTCGTGAGTAAGCACTGATAAAGAAACGACAAGCGATTTGTTTCACGTGCCCATTACTAACTTATCACGCGAGTTGTTAATAAGATTAAACACACATCCATTTTATGCAAAAAAATCTCTTTTTCTTTTTAAATGAAAAGTCCAAGATCGACATATTTTTTCAGTTTTAATCGCTACGTCTCCATCTGCAGTTTTCCGCATACGAAACACGGACTCTCTTAATTGCAATTCGGAACATTATCATTATCATCTAAATAGTGCATTAGGAAGAACGAGAAAACGTTATTAAGAACGAAGAAAAATAGTAAATATCATATCTTAAGAAGAGCACCCGTAGAAGATAATCTGTTGACAGACTATATTACGTCAAACTAGTGTCCATTATATACCCTGCATATTTCACAAGTCGTAATCAGCGCTTGTTATCAAGATTGCTCCTTATTTCTTTATGGATTTCTAATGATATATTAAATTATGTAAGTTCCTTTTTCTATTAAAAAAATTTGTATAATATACCGATAATACATATCATCAACCTCTCAAAAAACTTTGCAGTCGCTCAGCAGAGCTAAGAGCGAACGATATGATCCTTTTCGTTTTGTGCATCCTCGCGCTGTCATTTGGCAATAACGCGATCGCATCATCGTGCGTCGACGATGTTACAGTAAGATTTATGGTCAATGCAACGCCCGTTTTGTTTCCGCCATCGAGGGTGTCTTTACAACTGTGCATCAACTATGGCAAGATTTTCAAATTATTTAATGTGTGTTAACTTAAATGTTGTTGAAGAAAAAGAAAACAACTTAAAATTTTTTACAATAATCAACTAAAAGAGATTCTGATTAATGCGATAAAACTATGTTAATAAAAAAAATAATAAAAGCACTATGATGCTCTTTAAATGAAAATTAAATTCACGCATTTACATTTCAATCTATCTATCATTTATGTCTCTCTTCGTAGATGATATAATTAAATTATCAAGAATACTATCGAACTACCACTTGACACATAGCATTCGTAACAATTATGAAGAATTCGATCCAAAGATTTATGACAATTTAGAACATCAGAACTTGTACGTATTAGATTTAAACTGCGATTATGCCGTTGATGTTTTACGACAGGTAATAAACCTTTTTATATCACAAGCACAGTGAAAATACAAAGAAAAATAGTTTGATTTCTGATTAAAACGATTAGAAAAGTAACGTTAGCGAGTCCATGTTGTACTTTCACGATATTACGCCACTTTTCGTAAATGCAAAACATTTTGCTCAAAATAAAATCCGCGCAAATATAGTTTAGTCTATTAATTCAATAAAAATGAATTAAACACACAAACATACTATTGTCGATAAAAATTTATTTTCTAACTCACTTTAAAAATAATAAACAACATCACTCGCCACTGTTTACAATCTCCAAATTTATCATAATCGTTACCTAATATTAACAAATAGGCGCATTCGAAAAGAATGTTCGTCGCTCCGACAAAGTGGCTGCTTCTTCAAGATCGAAGAACGGTAATAGATAACGATAACAATCTAACTTCAACGTACAACG